TGCCCTGGATCCTCTGCCGAGGCCATCGTGCCTATGTTTGACCCTTCTCTCCTCCTCTACCTGAGGATCCCGGTCACGCACTTGACCCCGACTGAGAACTCTTGAGGATGGGGTGGAACTGGTCCCTGCAGATGGGGCGCCGCCGGTCGATCCTCGTCCCCTCCCGGCAGCAAGAGCTTGCCTCTGCCTCAGGAACCCCAGGTCAATACGAGGCGTGCTGGACATCGCGACCTCGAGGGCGTCCTCGGAGTCTAGAGATTGTAGGACTTGGAAGTCCGGCCACAAATCTCCTCCCGAAGTCCCCACCTCGGCGTCCGAAGGAACAACGTCCTCTCTGACCCCGAGCTCTTCAACTACTCCCTCTACCTCTGCCTCCGAAGCCCGATCAGGGTCTTCCTCCAAGTTTTCCTCGACCTCTTGCCTCGCCGCCTGATCGAAGAGTTCAGACCACCGCGAAGGCTCAAAAGGCTGAGGAAGCTGTGAAAATTTCTTATACCCGGGGGTGTAATTCAGCAGGATGTGGGCAGCCCGGCCGAACCCGTTGTCACCAGTAAATCTCCAAACCGCGATTAGGTCGGCAAAGTTCACCAGCGACCGAAGGGGATGAGCTGTTTCCCGAACAGGAATATCTGCACAAACAAAAAAGTAGTCATGAACATGGGAAATCTAGATAACGAAATAATAAACCCGAAGGAACCGACGTACTTGTCGTTGTCCATTTCAGAGGGCATAACAAGCCGTTATACTCGGGACCAACACCTCTCTGCCAAGATCCCTTGAAAATAAGAATATCGTCCTTGTACCCCTTGTCCGAGTCGGGAAGATGAGTTACAAGGTACATGGAGGGGTCCCTGGCTTTGAGGTAGAAGTGTTGGTGAGGCATGACTCTCANTAAGAATATCGTCCTTGTACCCCTTGTCCGAGTCGGGAAGATGAGTCACAAGGTACATGGAGGGGTCCCTGGCTTTGAGGTAGAAGTGTTGGTGAGGCATGACTCTCAAGAGGGAATNACTGCTGTCGTTGTTGCTGTTGTCGTTGCTGTTGCTGTTGCTGCTGTTGCAGAGGAGCAGGGGTAACCCACGGCCTCTCCCGCTTTGCTGCTGAGCGAAAGATGCCCNAAAAATGCAAGAGGAACCCCATTTATATAGGGGCAGTTTCATCATTGGGCGCGAAAAACGAAACGGCGCATTTAATGCACACGACATCCTAAGCCGGGAAAAGCGGCTCGAGGCAATGATGAAGCATTTGNCATGCTTATGTTTGACCCTTCTCTCCTCCTCTACCTGAGGATCCCGGTCACGCACTTGACCCCGACTGAGAACTCTTGAGGATGGGGTGGAACTGGTCCCTGCAGATGGGGCGCCGCCGGTCGATCCTCGACCCCTCCCGGCAGCAAGGGCTTGCCTCTGCCTCAGGAACCCCAGGTCAATGCGAGGCGTGCTGGACATCGCGACCTCGAGGGCGTCCTCGGCGTCTAGAGATTGTAGAACTTGGAAGTCTGGCCACAAGTCTCCTCCCGAAGTCCCCACCTCGGCGTCCGAAGGAACAACGTCCTCTCTGACCCCGAGCTCTTCAACTACTCCCTCTACTTCTGCCTCCGAAGCCCGATCAGGGTCTTCCTCCAAGTTTTCCTCGACCTCTTGCCTCGCCGCCTGATCGAAGAGTTCAGACCACCGCGAAGGCTCAAAAGGCTGAGGAAGCTGTGAAAATTTCTTATACCCGGGGGTATAATTCAGCAGGATGTGAGCAGCACGGCCAAACCCGTTGTCACCCGTGAATCTCCAAACCGTGATTAGGTCGGCAAAGTTCACCAGCGACCGAGGGGGAGGAGCTGTTTCCCGAGCAGGAATATCTGCACAAACAAAAAAGTAGTCATGAACATCGGAAGTCTGGAGAACAAAATAATAAACCCGAAGGAACTGACGTACTTGTCGTTCTCCATTCCAGAGGGCATAACAAGCCGTTATACTCGGGACCAACACCTCTCTGCCAAGATCCCTTGAAAATAAGAATATCGTCCTTGTACCCCTTGTCCGAGTCGGGAATATGAGTCACAAGGTACATGGAGGGGTCCCTGGCTTTGAGGTAGAAGTGTTGGTGAGGCATGACTCTCAGGAGGGAATAACAAAGAAGGAGATCGTTGAGCCCAATATTTACCCTAAGACGCCTATTGAGCTCTAAGACCCCCATAATTATTCTGAAGACATTAATGCAACACTGCCTAGGGAAAAGGCGGAAGTGAGAGAGGAACTGGAGAAGTAAAGGGGGTAAAAGAAACCTAATTCCGCCCTCTATTATGGCCTTGGTATAAAATGGCATAGCATCCTCGGCCCCGAGGGTAGGAGAGTGCACCATCGGGTCATAATCCTCTATGTCTACGCACGGGGGAATGCCGTACTTGACCTTAAACCTATTAATCTGCTCACCACCCTTTACTTTATACTTCCCCGACCCCGAAGAACCAGCCTGAGGATTCTCGGGAGCAGGGCGACGACGAGGCATCTCTAAGAAAGTGAGAAAGTGGAGGGTGTTTTTTCTTAAAAATCCCTGAGGAAGCTTCCCGAGGATTAGTCGCTAAGTATCAACCGGAGACACCTCCAGTCATCGGAAAACAAAAAGGGATAGGAGGAAGAAAAGAAGAAAGAAACTAGGACTCACCCGAATGTCAAACGGAGTTTTTTCTGGAAAACTTTAGGCGACTCCTTCCAGAAAGTTCAGAAGCAACGATGTGTCTGCTGGCCTTAGGACTTTAAGGAAGAATGGGCAGTTGACGATGGAAAAGGAAAAAGATCTCCGGCGAAGATTCAGGAAAAGGCTCTCTTGAGGAAGTTCGGAATGGCGAAACAAAAAAA